AAAAAAAAAAGAAAAGATCTAGATCTAGATTTAGATATCTAGTGCAGATATCTCTAAAGGGGTTGGTCTCTGTTTCTATCTTGTGGGTAATTAAACAATGGGCCTAGCTGTGTTGTGACAGTGTCCAGGAACAAGCAATCTTTTGGTTGCTGGGAGTGGATGCATTTCATCATTTTTCTACAAAGCTATGAGTTTCTCTTGCCTATCTTTTGGCTAATGAAGAGAGCCATTAGGTCTAGAGGTTAAGGCACCAGGCTAGAATCCGGGTGACTGGAAGTTCTAGTCTTGCCTTAGCCATGAAAGCCAACTGGGTGATATTGGGCCAGTTATTCACTTTTTCTCAGCCCAGTCACCTCAAAAGCTCATTGTTGTGGAGAAAATAGGAGGAGAAAGGTGTGTTGGACATGTTTGCCACTTTGAGTTGGTGGAAAGAAAAGAAAGAAAGAAAGAAAGAAAAAAGAAAGAAAGGAAGAAAGAAAGAAAGAAAGAAAGAAAGAAAGAGAAAGAAAGAAAGAAAGAAAGAAAGAAAGAAAGAAAGAAAGAAAGAAAGAAAGAAAGAAAGAAAGAAAGAAAGAGAAAGAAAGGAAGAAAGAAAGGCAGGCAGGCAGGCAGGCTTAGGGGTTGTGGTAAAAACTGTAGTTCAGTAATAAAGATGTGACGGCCCTCCAGAGGCTACTGTACTACACTCCGATCATTCCTGACTATTAGTTGTGCTGTTAAAGAAACCCTGTGCCACCAGGAAGAAGTCAAGTTGTGAAAGAGTGATTGAAATTCCGCACATTGAAACTAAGTAGTGGTAGGTCATAACAGAGGCATGCATTCCCCCGGTGCAGTTTCTTGTTATGTGCACTATGATTTAAATTTCAGATGAATGTAGTCCTCTGCTGTCCTCTTATTCATTCAGTGAGGTATCTCAGGGCACTGCCAGGGTTGAAGGGGATCCTGCAGAAGATGCCCCAGGAGTCAGCCTTACCTCTGTACCCATCAAGCATTCTTTGTCCTGGTTTCTCTCCCCCATCCCCATTTGCCCTTCTAGCACACATTTCTTTCCTTTGATATAACAGGTAAAAGAATTTGATTGTGCCTGAAAGCTAAACTTTAGTTGTAGTTGAAATCTTAATTTCTCCAGAAAGGCTCAAATAGTGGAGAGGAGAAATAAGGAGGTGATAGATCCTTTGTTAATTCCTCCAGGTTATGGGACTCTGGAACAATGCCCAATGTTTCTCTCTTAATGGTACCCTGGGGAATAGCCAGAAATCACTGCAACATCCTGTTAGCGTGCAACATATTTTTCCTGTGGTTCAGACAATGTGAAGAGAATGGGATACTGGTTTCATTCTTTATTTTATTTTATAGTGCTCTTTTCTCTTTTTGAAAAATTCTATTTTAGCAAGGCCTGATTAATTTTGCATAACTTCTCTTCCATTAAATCTGTTCCAAGCAATTTTTGATACGGTGGCTATGCCTTGTGCCATTCTTTCCAAAGTGTGGTGACATTTAACCAACTTGACTTAAATTGTGTGGGGTTAGCTTTTGGAGATCAATATTTTTTAACAGAGGTGTCTTAACATTGCCTTTGCTGCTAACTATAAGATGGTATTTGGATATTACTCTCTCTGTCGGTGCTGTTTGTTCCTATAATAGTCTAACACCTTTAAGAAATAAGGGGTCCTTGGTGCTCTCTGAGATGGTAAT